TTCCAGATCATACGTTGGCGCGGCCAGGCGCTGATTTCGCCGTTTGTTCTCTCCAGCGCGCCGAAGGCGTAATAACGGACAAATCGTGGTTTAGACGTCTGACCGGGCTAAAGTCATGGACCCCCTTGACCTTTCGAGACTTCGGCGAGCGCGCTCAAAGTTGCCCCGGGCCCGGTTCGGGCCCCCCCCCATCGAAGCAGCGCGAGATAATCAGCCGTTCCCTCAAAGTTGCCACGGTCGAGTTTTTCACGGGTTGACCCAGCGGCCAAGAAAGCGGGGCACTTTTTTGGAGACGGCTAAGCAGCTCTCAGTCCTGCATCTCGCCAGGCGCCCCCATTCGGCAGTTGCGCGTTGTTCCCGGCAGGTTGAGCGCCGCCCTTCTTCTTGTTGGCCGGAGGCGGGCAAGCTGGTCTGCCGCGCGGAAGAGAGATCCTGCTTCGCGTTTGTTCAGCGTTCAGGATTCGAGCAAGGCGCCAGTTTCTGGGATTTGCGGCGCAGGGCGCAGGTCTCGTTAAATCAGGCGCCGAAGATTCTCAACCATCAGCCCCCCCCCGTGGAGCGTCGACGCATCTCCGGCTAATGGGGAAGGCTTGCGCAGCGCGCTTTGGCCAGCGCCGAGGCGGCGCCCTCCAGCCGTTCGAGCAACTTTCACCAGACATACCCACCTCGACTTTCGCGCTGCTCCCTCCTCCCCACCCTTGCCCCCGCTGCCGGCGCTAGTTTTCTTCCGGGGGGATGCCATGGGGGGCGAGACTCCGCCCCCTTCCAGTTCTGGCTGCTCGAACCCACGGCGCTGGAGGTCAATCGCCTTGCAGCCGCGGACGCGGCGGGTAGAATCCGTCGCGCCGCCCCGGGAGTTCCAGGCGCGCGGTCGGCCCGGGCATATTCCACGGCTTTCGCCCCTCCCCGAGCCAGAGGGGCAGCGGGCAAATGCCGTGGGCAGCATGAGACCCCCCCCCTCGGTCAAGAGATCAGATGCCCCCTCCGTCCCGGCGGTCGCCCTTGCGCGCGGGAGATGGCTGGGCCACGTAGCTGCGCAGAAGCTCGCGTCCGCTGCCACCCCAGCCCCGTTTGCTCATCTTCTCGGGGCAGGGCCTTCGCAGACTTCGCGGGCGACCGAGCTATGAGCGCAGCGCCTGCGCTGATTGATTTCGACAGTGCTTTGCGCGGCACGGGCTCCGCGGCTGCGGGGCCCGACGGGCCCCGCGGTTCCTTCGCGAGAGTCCTCGCCCGGTTCGTCGCCGCCTTTTACTTCTCATTGGTTTTCAAGCGCTCCACGTAGCTCTCCGAGCCGGCGCAGTAGACGGGGCCCTCGCCCTTGCCTCTGCAAAGGGGCAGGCGATGTGCATGTTATGTCTGCTTCTCGTGCCATCTTTGCAACATCTCACATGGGCAGAAGATGCCGCTCGCGTCTCAGGCTTAAGATGCCGCCTGTTCTGAAAAGTGTGGTGGGCCAGCAACAGCGCGCGCGCGTTCCCGGCGAGGGCGCGCCCGCGGCGATCCCATCGGCGCGCGTTCTGCCAAGAAGTGGCCAAGAGGTCAACGCGGCCAATGCCATCTACTCGTGTATCAGGGAGGTGGCATTAGAGACCGACGCGTCTGCATCGTTTTGTTGCTTAGGTTACTGCAGGGAGCCTATCTCCTGCCCTCAGTGATCCCATATTGCTGAGGTCTCCTGGCTCCGATCTTTGGTTTTCCAACAGAGTCACAGCAGACGCCCCTCGTCAAAAGGTGCGATCTTCCAGAACATGCGCGGCGATCGCCCAGAAGGCTCTGGGGACGCGCCCGTCGTAGGCCTCCTGGGGCCGAGGAGGTTGCCATCGCCCATCCGGGATCGCGCCCTGACCCCCCCTCAGTGACGCGATCATCATACTCATCATTGCTGAAGCGACCTCGCGAGTTGCATATGAGCTGCCCAGGGGGGACTTCGCGCTCGCTGCCCCGAGGGCTTTGCATTGTTCCTGTAGCCGCATTCCCGGGGGCAGTGCTGTCATCCCAGATTTCGCTTGCGTGGTCGACTCTTGTTTTGTTTTGGTTTCCCAGGCTTTTGGCGCGTCGCCTTTAATGCCCCTGCCCCCGCGGGCCTCGCCCCTCGCCCCAATGCGGGCGAGACGGAGTTATTGTTGGCTGCCGGAGACTCGGGGGCTTTGGCTTGATGGCGTCCCATTCTGGAAGCAGTGTCATTTCTTCGGCGCTGCCCTCGCAGCATCTCGGTTCTGCTCCGGATGACGAAAGATCCTGGCGGCCCGAAATTACGCGTCGCCGCCGCGATGCCAGCGCAGCAGCGACGACGCTGCGCAGTGCCATCGCCAAGGCTCCGGCAAAGACATGGCGCCCAAGCTGATATTCCTCGACAGTTGGTCGCTTCATGCTGCCGCGCGCGCTCCCAGCACATGGCGCGCCTCGCATAGATAAAGTCGGATCTGGCCGGATTGCTATCGCGATGTGCTTGCAGACACCGAGCCATCGCGAAGCTGCCGCGCCTCGAGAAGGGGGGGCTTGCCGACAAAGCACCGCTGGCCGCGGCGGACCGCCCGCTGGCCACCCATCTCCCGCAGCTTTCAACATCTCTTCAGGGGCAAGACTGCCTGGCAGGAAGGGCCTCCCGACGGCCCCTTCCCGCGAGAGACCAGCTTGCTTGTCGTTCCTGTTTTGTTTTTTTTGCTGCGTTCGACGTTCTCAGGTCTCTGGATGCACGCGTTCGCCCAATCATGCTGGGCGCTCGGAGTTCGCCCAGACGAAGGCGCGCGCCGCGCGCGCGAGGCGCGCCTGGAGCGACGCTCGCCTCGCAGCCCTGCTGCGACGCCTTTCGCCGTGGAGGCCCGCGCGTTTGGCCCGCTGCCCCCGTCGCGCCAGTCGCGCGTCAGTGGCCGACAGAGAGGCCGCGCTGGCCTGAGAGAAGCGGCAGAATGAGGCGTCGACTCGGCAGGGGAGGTCTCATTCAGATTCGGCTTTCTCTTCGTTCACCCCCCCTGGGCCACTTCCCGAGGCCCCCTTTGCCATCCGACTCAATTATCCCCCCGCCAAGGCCGGCGCGCGCATTGCAGATGTGGTTCTCAATCCATCGCAGGGCGGAGCAGGCATGCATAGGCCTGAGTCTCGACCGAGGATGGCGAGGTATTCGACCCTCTGCCCCCCGAAGTTGATTGGCCATTCGACGAGTTTTCGGGTCCACTGGCTGAGGCGCCCCCCGGGAAACCTATCGCACGAGATGTTTTTAATTGCTCATCTTTCCTGCGGATAGCGCCGCGGGGAAGATGTCCAACGCGCCGCGAGGATTCCTTGCAGACGCACGCTCCGTCATTCGAGCGAATGGTTCGTCGATGGATGCGATGCCTGATAGAGCCAATGGATACTTAGCTGGAGCGGTCTTGGTTCAGTTATGGGCCGACCGCATCGGGGCAAGTAGAATGGCGGGTCTGGGTGGGGGGGGGGGGGCGCGCGAGGCGCCCGCTCGGCGGAGAAACGCCCCTCCCCCCCCCCCAAGGTCTTGACAGGCTTCACGGGGGATCGCAGCCATCAGACGGGCCCGTGGAATTCAGGCTTCGGTTCCCAACGATTCATTAGAGGCGCGCTTAGAACCGTTGGCCGCAGCTGCGGCGGCCCAAGGTGCAGGATGTCATGGGCATCCCGACCCCCCGTCGCGGGCGACCGGGCGTGTCCCGAGCTGGCATTCTATCATATTCAAGGCTTTGCTGGCCATGCCGGCGGCTTCGTTTGCAGCTCCTGACCAGTGCAAGTTTGGGCAGTCTGGTAGGGCCCGAATTGGAATCCTGGGCATAAGGCCCCCCAGCTTGCCCAATAAGTTCAAGAACACCACAGGGGGTGGATTGCGCCCCCGCGTCCGACCCTCCGATGGCCGGGTGGGGCACTGAGCGCAAGATGTGGTGGATGCGCCCAAGACAATGCACCTTGCCCCAACGTGTTCAGTCATTGCTTCTGCCACGTTTGATGCTCTTCGCCCGCCCTTACTTGGATTGCCCAATTTAAGGCCCCAGCGAGGGCGATCAAGGTGACATTGAAGAGGTCTGGTTGTTCCTCCGAGGTTCTACAGGGGTTGGCGGCTGGCGTTCCTGAGATGGGGCCAGATTTCGCATTCGGAACAAGATAGCAGCAAGCCGTCACCACCCGCGGCGATTTGCAAGCTGCCAACTCCCAGCGGTCCACCCCAATCCTCGGAAGTAGCGGAATTAGAAGGCATTCTTTCGGTTGTCGCGTCGGAGTCAAATTCGGCTCGCGAGTTTCTTCAGGCGCCAGCCCTGCCCCTCCCCCCGCCTTCGCCCCCAGATGAGATCAGGCAAAGAACTGCTGCCGATCAAGCCTTGGCGCTTCAGAGAATGATGGCCAGGGGAAGAGAAGCCAAGCGCATTCCCGTGCGCCTGGATGGTTCAGTCTCTTCGAAGGTCCCACCCCCGATTACTGGGGGGGTCTCTGGTGCAGGCCGATGTTCATGGGTAGTTCACTGCAGCAGCCAGCAATGCGCAATTCGTGCAGTTGCTGATTTGTCCTCTGGTAGTCGGGTGGGTGGAGGCTTTCAGGAGGGGGACAAGCACACAGACACAATGAATAGTCGACTCCCATGGAAATGTGGGAAAATACCGGGAGCTGGGGGAAGACGACGATCCAGAAACTATGGGAATATATTGGGAATCCTGCGGTGTGTGTGTGTGTCCTTGGGCCACTTGAGTTTAGAGCTATGTCAACTGTTGAATGAAATTGGTTTGGGTACACGGCGAGGTCCGTCTTCTAGGCCGTCGAAACCAAAGAAGCCACATCCATTTGCGCGTGGTCACCTCCTTTCCCTCCTCTTCCTCCTTTCCCTCCTCTCCTTCCCCCCTCTTCTCCACCTCGTCCCCCTCCTCCCCCTGCTCCCCCTCCTCCCCCTCTTCCCCCTCCTCCCCCTCCTCCCCCTCCTTCCTCTTCCCCCCTCCCCCTTTTACCATTTCTTTTCTCCTGCTCCTCTCTCGCCCGTCCCCGCGCCCGCCGCTCACGCCCTGATCATGCTCGACAAGGCCAGCGGCAGGCGCGGGGGCGTGGCGGGGAGGGCGGCCGCTGTTCAGCTGCCCCCGTGGTTGTTGGCCCCGTGCGGGAGGAGGAGGAGGAGGAGGAGGAGGAGGAGGAGGAGGACGAGGAGGAGGAGGAGGAGGACGAGGAGGGGGAGGAGGAGGAGGAGGAGGAGGAGGGGCAGGAGGAGGAGGAGGAGGAGGAGGAGGACGAGGAGGAGGAGGAGGGCAGGTCCCGGGGAGGCAGTGAGCCCTTCGAGCGCGTCTTGGGCTGTGGCGCAAGTTCGTGCTGCGCCCCCGTGGCTGTTGGCCCCGTGCGGGCCTTCCCGCGGACAGCCGATCAGATCCGACCCCCATTCCCACCATTCCGCCGTCAGGCCTGAACCTAAACGGTGTTTGTCGTTCTCGTTCTGTTATCGTTTTCCGTCGTTTTGTCTTCGATCCGCCTTCCCACCGCAAAACGAAGTCGAACCGAGAACGGCCCACGAAATCGCCAAAACACCGTTTAGGCCCAGCCCTGTCCGACGTCGTTACTGTCTCGCAACCTCACCCCTGAGATCTGGGCCCGCTCCCCGGGACCACTCTTCCGGATACTTCTTGGACGCTCCCAGCTCCGGGCGCGCGTTCCCGGAGGCCGGACATGGGCAAACACTTTCCGGCGTGACTTCTTCGCAGCGAGAAGGAGGTGGGGCCCGCGCTTTTGTTTGGCTCCCTCCCTCCGCCGTTCCCCGGCGGCCTCCTGGATCCGCCCGCGCGCGCGCGCGAGGTGCCAGTTCACCCCCGCGCGGCCTGGCCTCCCGGCCCGGCGGCGGGCCCCGAGCCACGAGCGGGTGGGAGGCGCTGGCGCTAGCCGCGAGATTGCCGCAGGCGGCAGAAGTGCACTGCAAGGAGACAAGGGGTAGTGGTAGGGACAGGTTGACGCTGAGGCGAACGATGATGAGGGTCATGGTGATGTTGATGGTGATGATGATGACGAGCACGATGATGCTTGTGATGATGATGATGATGCAGACGAGGACGATGGTGGTGGTGATGCCTGTGGTGGTGATAATGATGATGGTGTTGATGTTGATGCTGGTGATGGCGGTGAGGATAAGGGTGGGGATGAGGACGACAATGACGAATGTCGATGATGACTATGACGACGACGAAGATGATGATGATGTGTCTGCTGTTGGTTATGGTGGTGAAGATGATGATGTGGATGATGTTGATGGTGATGATGATGGTGGTGGTGGTGATGATTATGGTGCTGATGATGACGATGCTGATGAGGATGAGGATGCTGATGAGGGTGGTGGTGATGGGTCATGGAGGTGATGCTGATGGTGGTGGTGGTGATGATGGCGATGCTAATGAACACGATGATGATGCTGATGATGACAACTCCGATGACGATGATGATCACGATGATGGTATTTATGATGATGATCATTATGATGATGACGACGATGAGTATGATGCTGCTGACGTTATTTTTGTTGAAGATGATGATGACGATGATGAGGGTTTATGATGATGATGCTGATTACGTTTGCGATTATGATTATGATGATGATAACCATGATGATAATGGTGCCGATGGTGGTGATGATGATGATGATTATGATGATGATGTTGACGCTGATGGTGATGATGATGATGATGATGATGATGATGATGATGATGATGATGATGATGATGATGATGATGATGATTCAGATGAGGGCAATTACCCAGGTCCCCGCCGGGTCGTCACCCAAGGCTGTGCCGACCCGCGTAAGCTAATCTGGTGGGTCACGTCTGCCCCATCGTTGGCTTCTATAGGACCAGTTCAAGACGGCCCAAATACGGCCCAGGAGGGCCTTGAGACGGCCCAAGAGACCCCCCAGGAGGGCCCAAGACGCACCAAGAGGTCCCCGAGAGAGGCCCCCATGAGTCAGGGACCACCTGCGGGCCTCTATTTATCAGGAGGGGTAAAAACACAGACACAATGAATCGTCGATTCCGCAGGAAATAGGGGAACATATAGGAAGTGGGGGGAAGACCAAAAAACCCAGAAAATATGGGAAATATAGGGAATCCTGTTATTTGTGTCTATTCATTTGTGTGTCCCAGGGCCCCTTCAATTTAGGTCCCCACGACGCCCCCCATACGCCCCAAGGAACTTCCCAGAGGCCCCCAGGGACCTTTAACAGGTTTTTGAGAGGGCCCCAGAGGCTTCCCAAGAGCCCCGAAGGACCCCCGTTCAAAACGTCGATCCCCTTCGATCCTCGATCCCTAATAGTGGCTCTTTCTTTGGAGACGAAAAGGGTCGCGCGCCGAAACCCATTCCAGACGAAATTGCAGTTTTTTCTAGAATTTCAGTGTGCAGGCGCGCCCTGCCGCGCGGTGGTTTCCAGGCGCACCTTAGAGCGTGCTGACGCATAATGCAAGGCATTCGTATTGCACGTTGCGCATGCTATCGCGTGCAAATCACGCATGGCTTGAGCTACTTCGCAAACGCTTTCTGGCGAGGGGTTTCGAGGGCCCTCTTAGGGCCCGCTGGAGTCGCCGAGTGACGAGAGCTCCCGGCATCCATTGTCGACTGTTGGCAAAAGCAGCGCTGCCGAAATGGCCGCCGATAGAGCCGTCGAAAGGGCCGCCGAAGGGGCCGCCGAAAGAGCCGTCGGAAGGGCCGCCGGAATTGCCGCCGAAATTGCCGCCGAAATTGCCACCGATATCGCCGCCGATATCGCCGCCGAAATTGCCGCCGAAATTGCCGCCGAAATTTCCGCCGAAATTCCAGATGGCTCCGCCGAAAAGAGGCCGAATTTGACCTTGGCTGTGACTCTATGCTTGTGTCTGCGGCGTCATCGTGCTTACTGGAACAGCGATTTCGCTTGCGACGGGGCAGTGAAAATTTCGGCGGGTGAGTTTCGGCGGCGATTTGGGCGGCTGAATTCTGGCCGCTATTTTGGCGGAGTTCGCAATTATTTCGGCGGCAATTTCGGCGGTGAGTTCGGCGGCATGTTCGGCGGCAATATCGGCGGCAATTTCGGCGGCGATTCCGGCGGCAATTTTGGCGGCAATTTCGGCGGCGATTTCAGCTACGATTTCGGCTGCCCTTTCGGCGGCCCTCCTGGCGGCCCTTTCAATGACCATTTCGGCGGTTTTGCTTGTGACAGCTGCCGACGAATGCTGCTGGGAGCTCGCAGCACTCAGCTGCGGCAAAGAGTCGATGTGCGGCGACGCAGGCTGACCTGACCTCAGCCCGGCGATGATTGTAACATGTGTTATCTTGTGGTTTTGGCGGTGATGATGGCGACGGCCGCGGTAGTGTTTGGTTCAACATGGATGCTCGTCAGGGGGCACTGCAGGCTGGCCTACGCGTCCAGCACTGTATGCTTTCAAACAAGAAAAAAATGCCGCGCAACTCCTTCGGAATTCGGCGGCTATTTGGGGGGCCGTGGTGGCTCCAAAGGATTGTCCTCGCCCTCCGTCTCTCCCCGATCGCTCCCCTCTCCATTTTTTCCTCCGGCTGGTTTCCGGGACCTTGAATCGAACGTTGGGCGGCCGTTGGCGATTCGGACCGGGACGAGGGGGGAGGACAAGGGGTGGCCCAGGATTTGCTTCACTGGGGTTTCATCCTTGTGCTAGAGCCTCAGCGAGCGCGAAGCGCACGCGTGTGTCCAGCATGCGCACTCACGTCTCTTTCTCAAACGAGGTATCTGTCATGTAAACACACCAGCATGCCTACACACATACATACTACATATACACATGCTTACATGCATACATACACACATACATACGTACATGCATACATACAAACACAAGTACGAACATACATACACATGTACACAGACACACGCATACATACACATACGTGCACACATACACATACGTACACATATATACATACACATACACAGACACATACATACGCACACAAACATCCGTACATCATACATACGTGCACACATACATATATACATTCGTACATACATACATACTTACATACGTACATACCTAATCACATACACATACATGCAGACATGCAAACATACATATATATATGTGTGTGTGTGTGTTTATGCATACATATAGTCATGTGGACATGCAGCTGTATTTCTATACACATATATATATATAGATATATACCTCGATCGATCTGTGCACACCTATACTTTGTATATATGCACAAGCTTCCCTGGCGGAGCCGTTGGATGTTTTGCGTGTGTATGCGCACGTACGCAATCACGAGTGTAGGCCAGGGGGGGTTCGACCGACTGTGGGCGGGTGGGGTCAGGGATGAGAGCGGAGGACACCGGTTCCTCTGCACCTCTCGTTCGTCGAACGGCAGGCCTCACGGTTGAGGTGCAGTGCCACGCTGTCTTGGCATTCGACCCGCACTTGAGCCGACACCGTGCTGCCACGGCGTGTGTACTCCAGATTTTGTAATAAAAGGGAGGGGGTCTGGACCCTCCCAGACAAGCCATTTCAGACCTCCCCCGTGGGAGAACCCTCCAAAACATCGTCCCCAGACCCCCCAGGCCCTCCAAGATAGCCTGGAAGAGACCCCCCCGAAATGAGACCCCCCTCCCTTTATTACGAAATCTGGAGTAAGCAGAGTAACCGCGCTGTCGCAGCAGGACGACGAGGAGGTGGCGGGCGAGGGCCGACGGGCGCGGGAGGATGCGGTTGGGGAGGCGAGGGGCGCGAGGCGAGCGCGGGGGGCCACGGGTGAAGAGGAGGAGCGAGGAGGAGCGAGGAGGAGGAGCGAGGAGGAGGAGGAGGAGGAGGAGGAGGAGGAGGAGGAGGAGGAGGAGGAGGAGGAGGAGGAGGAGGAGGAGGTGGAGGAGGAGAGGAGGAGGAGGTGGAGGAGGGAGGGGGAGGAGGAGGAGGAGGAGGAACGAGGAGGAGGAGGAGGGGGAGGAGGAGGAGCGAGGAGCGAGGAGCGAGCCAGGCTTCAAGGGTGTGAATGGCCCCGGCAGGCCTCATCCGTCTGCCGGCGCGGCGGCGTGCGCGGGCAGGGTCGCCGCCTTGTCTCGGCATTTGCGAGCCAGACGTCAAGGACAGTGTGAAGGGGCCTTGAGGCACACAAATCAATAGACACAGAGAAGAGGATCCCCAAGATTTTCCCATATTTTCTGGATGTTCGTCTTCCCCCCCCCTTCCCATGTGTTCCTACATTTTCATGGGAATCGGCGATTACTTGTGTCTGTGTGTGTTTTGTTCCCTCTTGATATTGATGGCTCTGGCAAGCTCCATTCGGCTGGGGCCACGGCGTGTGTGAGCAGAGTCGCCGCTTGTCGTAGCAAATTTGAACAAGGCTTCAGCCCCAGAAAATTGGAGCTTGCCCATCATCGCCACCACCATCACCATCATCGCCATCATCACCTACATAATAATAAGAATCCTCCTCCTCCTCATCATCATCACCATCATCATCTCCATCGTCATCACAAGCATCATCATCAGCATCTTCATCGTAAGCATCATCATGTTCATCATCATCATCATCATCATCATCATCATCATCATCATCATCATCATCATCTCCATCGTCATCACAAGCATCATCATTATCATCAGCATCATCATCAACCTCACCACCACCACCATCGTCATCATCAACATCGTTATCAAATTCACCATCATGATCATCACCACCATCACCACCATCATCATCACCACCAGCATCACCAGCATCACCAGCATCACCATTATCACCATCACCATTATCATCATCATCATCATCATCATCATCATCATCATCATCATCATCATCATCATCATCATCATCATCATCACTAGAACCATCTCCATCGCCATCACCAGCACCATCACCATCACCATCCCTCCTCTCTAGAAGGAGGGAGCAGGATGAGGAAGTGCCAGACGCACCCTTCGCGCAGGCGGCCCCGCCGCGCAGCGGGGCGACGCGGCGGACACGGCGGCCGGGTCCGGGGCGGACTTCTGGAGGGCGCAGCTGGAGGCGATCTACCGCAGGAGGAACCCGCTGAAGCTGCCCAAGGCCGCCGAGCCCGAGGGTTGGCAATGGAGGCTTACACATGGTTTGCGCCCACCAGGTTGGAGCCAGCTTGGGCGATGAGGTGCCAGGCAGTGGTTCTGGCCAGCAGGAGGGGGGGGAAGGAGCCCCCCTCGTCGCAACGGCTGGGCGCGACTCGGAAAACTGACAGGTTTCGACCCTCGAAGGTGTCGGGAACCGATTTTGAACGGATTTGACTTCGTCCCCATCGTGGCACATTTTCTCGGGGCGCGTCCAGCACAAAGCTCCGGCCGCTTCCAGCCCGTAGGGGCGCCTCGTCACCACGGCTGGATGCGCCCAAGAATTCTTTCCAGAACGCACCCCGGAGAAGGAAATCGGGTTCGACCTCTGAGGGCCAGGATCCGCACTCCCTTCTTCACGGAGAGATCGAAACAGCTGGTTTTCTTCAATGCGAGCTTCTCGGTGCATTGGCCGCCGGGTCTGTCGAAAAGTAGACGGGATGGAAAATCGATCCCCAGGGACGAGGTCAAGAGATCGCCCTCTTCGCCTCCCCATTCAGACGTACTCTTCCTGATTGATACTCATTTTTGATATCCTTCGTCTTCTCAGGCCTCTTCCGTTCCTCCTGTTCCTCTGGCTATTCCGCCTTCCACCTGTTCTTCTTGCTACTCCTGGTGCGACCCGTCCAGCACTCCTATTGCAATTTAGGGGTGCTCATGCTGCCCCTGGGGATCCTGCTATCCATGCTCCCGCAAGTCGCCTCATGATCGTACCACCCCTGCTTCTCCTGCAGATCCTTCTGATTTTTTGAATGTCAGCCGTGCCCCCTGATCTTGCCCCCGTGACTCACAATCGTAAAAACGCTCCTGCCATTCGTGCAGGCCCAGTTGCATCCCGTGATCTTCGCCGTTCCTCTCTCTCTCTCTCTCTTTCTTTCTCATCCGTAGGTGTGTTGGCCACGGTGGCTACCGCTGATCCGCGGCCGGCATTGCAGTCTGTCTGGCACTTCGCCCAGCCGAGTTGTTCTTCGCTCTCCTTGCGCAGGTCCACGGCCCGCGGTGCACGCCCGAATGGGCCCCGACGCTGGCAGGCGCCAGGCATGGGCCCGGCCGTGGCTGCGCCGCTGGCGTGTGCACCCGCGCTCGGGCGAGAAGTGGTGGAACAACGCTCGGGCTCCTCCCCCTCCTCCTCCGCCTCCTCCTCCTCCTACTCCTCCTGCTCCTCCTTCTCCTCCTCCTCCGCCGCCTCCTCCTCCTACTCCTCCTGCTCCTCCTTCTCCTCCTCCTCCTCCTCCTCCGCCTCCTCCTCCTCGTCCTGCTCCTCCGCTATTTCCGCTATTTGACGCGCCGTAAGGGTCACTGCCCTGAAGCGCAGCGCGGCGGCCGTTGGCCGCCGACAGAGGGGGGGTGAGGAAGGCCCGTTTCATTGTCCTGGAAAGTGATAGGCCCGGAGGAAAGGGGAAGCGAAAAAGACGACGGGCCCGTTGGGCCCAACACCGGTCGGCGAAGGGCCCGAGGGGCCGAGGGCCCGCGGGGCCCTGGCCTTCGGCTCGGCGAGGGCCCACCCGCCTCGGTGGGGCCTAGCTGAGCTCGTCCGCCAAGTCGGGGACGGCGGGGCCCTCAGGCCGCGTCGAAGGCGGCGACCCCGCCCGCGCCTGGCCTCCGCGATGCGCTCCCTCTGGCCCAGCGCGAGGTGCTCCGCGTCGCGCGTGCGTCCGCCGGTGTGCACCTGCTGGTCCAGCGCCAGGAGCTCTGCGTTGCCGCAGGCCTGCGGGGGCATCCGCGCCTGGCCTCCCAGCTGTCCGCCAGCTGGCCCAGCGCGCGGAGCTCCGCGATGCCGTCGGCCTCCACCGTCTGGCCCCCAGCGCGAGGAGCTCCGCGATGCCGTCGGCCTCCGCCATCTGGCCCCCAGCGCGAGGAGCTCCGCGATGCCGTCGGCCTCCGCAATTTGCTCCCTCTGGCCCAGCGCGAGGAGCTCCGCGTCGCGGTCGGCCTCCTCGGTGTGCCAGTGGTCGTCTGCCTCGATGATGGTAGGCTCTTTGTACTTGGCTCGGTCGCCTTGGTCGAGTAGCCCTGTTTGACTGTGTTGGGCTCAGGCTCTGGTACTCGTCTCAGCCGTGAGGTAATTGTCGTGCTGGTTAGGGTCGATGGGGGCCGGCTTGTTGCTGGCAGGTAGAATAGATTGTGGGCGCGCTCAGGCCTCCATGCACCGACTTCAAGTAGGGTTCGTGGCGGCCCTACCTCGTCCCGCTATGGCTAGGGGTCACGGTGCCCTCGGTGGGGGCGAACCCCAGGCCAAGTGATTCTTGCTGTCGATGAGGAAGATCAACGCTGCCCTATGCTTCGCCCTTGGGCGCTCGGGAGCTCCGTCTCCGCCATGGGAATGGTGGGGGTGGCGAGCTAGGGCGGACCGCGGGGGCGCGGGCAGTACTCGTCCTGCCCCCCCCCTGCCCCTCACCATCCCCCCTGGTAGGCGCGGGCAGTCCTCGTCCTGCCCCCCCGCCCTTCGAGCCCGTCTCGAAGTTTGATCCTTGCCTCACCAGGGCAGCGTTGACTCGTGCTTGGTGCAGTTGGGGTAATCTGGCTGGTACCTCTGAGCCCTGACTGAACGGCGGCCGTGTCCGTCAAGTGCAAAACGTGACGACGTGTGCCTGGGGTGTTCCCTCGCATTCGGGGCTTCCCCAGGACTTGCGTCCTGATGACTTGTGCAAAACTTGACGACGTAGCCTGAGGTGTTCCCACGCACTCGGGGCTTCCTCAGGACTTGCGTTCTGATTCTTTTGAACTTGTCGTCAGGGCGCATCGACTCGATCCGCGTTGTCAGCCTGTGCCCGAACAGCTCCTGTCGAGGTGGTGGCCCTGCCGATTGCCTTGCCGGGTCGGTCCTGCCGGGCCCACTCCCTTGCCTCTTCCAACCAGGTCGATGAGCCACTCCGCCTCGCTTGGCCCCGATGGTAGTCCTGACCCATCTCCCTGGTCTTGTAGCGGTCGAGCGGCTGGAAAAAGTGGGCCACGTCATCGTCGATGTGCCACCCCTGGACGTCGTTAGGCGACTCGCCAAAGCGCCACCTTATCTGCTTCGCCAGTGCGGTCGCGATGGCCTGGCACATCCTGTTCGGGTACTCCTTGGCCGCCGCGGTGCGCCACTGGCCGTCGTCGTTGATGCCTGCCAGCTCCGCGTGGTAGGAGGCCGTGTGAAAGCGCCTTCCGCTTCCAGGCAGTCTACTGATTTCTGCTCGGAGGGTTGGTAGGGATACCGCCATCAGGCTTGTGGACTTCCTCGAACGCGCTCCACAGGTGCACTGGTCGAAGGTGATCAGCTCGACTCCCTGCTGGTTCAGGAGGTGGCGCGTCTCGGGAAGCTTCCAGGAGCTGGCGAAGTGCTCCTCGGTGGGCTCGGACGGGTGCTCGAGCATGCCTGGGACTCCCAGGTTGAGGCACATGTACATGAGCTCCAGCTGTGTCCTGTATAGGCGGTTGCCTGTCGCTACTTGCTCCATCTCTGGGCGGGAAAGGTAGCGAAGGCCCCACAGGCTGTTGCTGCTCCTTAGGGGTCTTGGTGGCCGACCCCTGCAGTCATTGGGGGGCAAGTGGCGCGCTCGGCTCCAGGTCTCGCACGGCGGTCCGCCGATGACTCCTGCAATTCTTCCTGCTTGTGCCATGTCTCGCCACTTGCTGACTGCGACTTCTGATGTCAGGTCGCCGAAGGTCGGGTCGTTGGCGATGTCCAGGCTGAGCATGTGTATGTCGCAAGCAGCCCGACTGCTGAGGCGGTCGAACCAGTCCTGAACATCTCCCTCTCGACGACGGCCGCTGAATAGATGCAGCACGTATAGCGTCCGAGCTGGTCTGGGCCTCGGTACAGCAGCTGGCAGCGGTGGCGGCTCCTCGATGAAGGGGAGCTCTAGGCTCTCGTAGTGGCCGCCGTTGCTGTCGTCGCTGTCCTCGTCCGTATGTGTTTCTGGAGGACGAGCAGGGACTGCAGGCTTCTCTGCCCAGTCGATGGGCCTGCCCGCCCTTCGGTTCGCCTGCTGCTGGTCGCGGACAATTTGCTGGTTGTGCTGCAGCTCGGCTCTACTTAGGATTGCTGGACGCGTCTTTCTCCAATGTCGAGCGCACCTGCGCACTCTCAGCAAGTGTTTGACCAGCTTGTTTGTAGTATGGTAATCCATGCCGCATCCGTAGCAGACCGAACCAGTTGCCCACGAGATAGGATGACCCGACGAGGTGTGGTCCTTGGTGATGTGTGCTCGTAGCACTGCTGCACTGGCTTCGGTACGTCCGCAGTGGTAGCATAGGTACTTGCGCTGATGCTCGAAGTGCTGGTCTGGGAAGGGCGAGATGGCTTCCGTGTTGGTCCACCGTTGGAGTCGAAGCCGCCATCGAGCTTGGTAGTCGTGATCGTACTGGCGAGCTTTGCCACGTTGGCAAGCTTTCTTTACTGCGCTGAGGTAGCTTTGGTAGTCGTTCCTGGCCCAGTCCTTCCAGTCCTCGAGCGTGCATGCTCCACCACGCTCGTCAGGTCCTGTGTGGTCGCGGACCCAGTCTAGGTCGCGGCGGAGCAGTGCCACCCAGCCGTAACTACCATCCCATGCTTGGCTAAGTAGCCGGCGGAGGTGCAGGGGTCCCCAGTTGAGGCATCTGCCAAATAGTCGTAGCCTCTCAAGTCGCAGGACTATCTCTGGGGGCAGCTTGTCGACCCCTTCGAGAATCTGGGTGTTCGTTACCTCCTTTTTCTGTCGTACTTTCCAAGTGATCCTTTGCGCGGCAGCGTAGTTGACGATGTACTGGTTGTTGAAATTCCTGGCCTGGCCTGCGGTGAGTTCGGGCCAGGTAGACGCATTGTATAGTAGCTGGGATAGCACCACACTGTCGGCTAAGTAGGCCTTGTCTTTGATGGCCAGCTCTGATCGCCGGTGGACTTCGCGATGGAGAGGCCTCGTGGATGTCGCTGCAGTGGCTACCTTCACTGCGACATCCACCCCAGGGGATGCATTGTCGGTCACGTAGGTCCCGAGGAGCTTG